GGGCAGCATCGCCCCCGCCCCGGGCCGCCCCCGCACGCAGCTCGCCCCCGGGATCCCGCAGCCTGGGCTCTGCTCTGCCCCCGCAGCACCGCGCCCCGGGCCATCCCCCGCCCCAGGGACGCTGAACCCCGGCTCAGCTCCTCCTGGGAACCTGCACGCCGGGTGATTTCGCATCCCGGGCTCTCCTCCGCCCCGGGGACCCCGCATCCTGTACTGCCCCTCCTGGGAACTTGCACCCTGGAGACCTCTCGTGCTGGGTGGTCCTCTCCATCCCCAGATTCTCCCCTACCCCACGTCCGCTACAGCCAGGGGAGGTGGCACACCGGGCTTCCTGCGCCCTCAGCTGCCCTATGCCGAGCCCCCGTGCCCAAGGTTTCCTCTCCAAGGACACGGCACCGTAGGCTGTGCCCTACGCACTGACCCAGGTCAGTGGATACAGCCTTTTTGGGGGCCTCTCTGCTGCCCGTCTGCCCCTCCATCCCCACCACTCCAAGCCCCCTTCAGAGCCCTTCCAGGCTGTGTCCACAAGCCCCTTTTCCGGGAGGTTTTGCCTCTTTGTGAACCCACGGCTGTTTTCGCACTGACCCGCTCAGGGCTCTGCAGGGACTCCCGGCCAGATCTTAACGCTCCTGCCAGGACAGGCAGCGATTCTGTCCCCAGCATTGCCCCCAGCCTGGACCAGCACCGCGCTGGAGAGGTCTCTGTGCCAGAGCAGCAATGGAGAACGCACAGGGCCTGATTCCTGCAGCTTGGGGATGTCGCTCGAGTGACCCATCCCAAGACAAGCCCTTCAGAGCAGCCCGTGGATGACCCCAAAGGGACATGGGACAGGGTGCCGTGGGCCCTGGCTGTGCCTCCCGCTCCCCCCACGCCCTCCTTGCACCAGCATTTCCGAGCGGGGCCAGTCCCGGAGCCGCCCTAAGAGGCTGTGAGAGTTTGGGAGCAGCTGTGGAGCAGCTGCCGGGGCCAGCGCGGGGGCTGAGGCCGGGGCAGGCACCCCACAAGCGGCTCAGATGGCTTTGGGGGGGGATGTGCTGGGACCCTGCTCAGGGATGTGGTGGGAGCTCTGAGCCTGCCGCCGCCAGGCTTTGTTCTCGGAGCAGCGAGGCTGCAGCCCCTCCCAAGGCTCCACCTCCGCAGACCACCCGAGACCCTCCTTCCGCTGCCTGAGCACAAGCTCCTCACATGGTGCGCAGAGCTGGTGGGCAAGAAATGCCCTTGGCAAAGCGCAGAGGCACCTTGGGTGGTAGAGGCGTCATCAGGAGGCCCCAGGGGCAACAGGGAACGATCCGAGCTAAGCCCCCCACGAGCGCAGAGCTTGCAGTGGCACAAGGGGATGCTTGGGAGATGCCGGGGAGAAGCAGGTTGGCTGTAGCAGCCTGGCTCTGCCCTGGCCCTGCTCCACAGCTGGGCACCCCGGGGCTGATCTGGCAGAACCTGTTCCCACACCTGTCCCGCACGGCTGCCTCCCCCTGCCCCTTCCCTGCCCTCCACTCACGAGTCGCTGTCCAGCCACGCCAGGGTTGGCTCAGGGGCTGCCCACGTGAGGCCACAGCCACCTCACCTTCTCCTGTGCTTCCTCTGACCTTGGCTGCACAGCTGGGACTCACACACGAGCACTCAGCCCTGCTCCTGCTGGCCCTGCCAGGCAGGCACCAGCTGTTTCTGTCCCTTGTTGCACCCGTGTCCTGCTGCTTCTCAGTGTGACCACATTGCTCTCATGTGCCCGAGCCCCAGCCTGTCTTTATCCCTCGACTTTCCTCACCCCATCTTTGATGTGCTTTTGCACTCCTGGAACTGGCAGTGAGAAGATGTGGCACTGCAGCCCAGATCCGGGTGATGCCAGGAGGCATTTGGCTTCCCCCAGCCAGCTCCTGCCCCCGGCAGAACCTTCCAGTAGATGAGCAAGACAATTTTCCTTACAATTGCTCATCATGGCAAGAGCTGCAATTATTAATGACCGTTCCAGCTGTCAGAGTGGAGAGGGAGGAGAACATCCACTTCCCCCCACCCGCTGCCCTCGAGCCCGTTCCAGCCGGAGGTGCCGGCGTGGCCTCACACCCGTCCTTCGGGACGGCAGCTGCATCGCGTGAGCGAACGCTTGGCTGCTCCACGCTGGAGAACGCCCAGAGCTGCTGCACGTGGCCCATGTGTGCCCCGTGACTCCTCATCCCCTCTACAGGACTCAAGGCCAGGGCACAGAGGACACTGCTAGACCACTAAGGTCTGACCCCTTCCCCATCTCTCCTTGCTGCATTTTGGCCCCCAGATTAATTACTGCCTCCATTAGTGGTCCTGCCTGCTACAGGAGGGATGACCCAGTCGACACAAGGGGTCAAGCCTGGGCTGACGTGGGCAGAGGAGGAGAAATCTGAGGCGAAGATTTTCCCTGGAAAGCTGGAAAGAGCTGAGTCAGGCCCCAGAGGGAGCGGGATGAGGGCACAGCATGACCTTCCCAGCCGGCCGCACCTCACTCGGCAAAACCACTGGCCTGGAGACAGGCGGCACTTGCAGAGACGTGTTTATTGAAGGCACTAAAAGCACCGTGGCTACATCAGCGCAGCCTGACCGGAGGGTGTGGGTTGGGGGGGAGGCACTGATGGCCCCAGGATGGCAGTGGCAGAGAGCTCTTTGGTAGGAAGCTGTGCCCAAGCCTTGCAGGAGCAGCCGTCTGGCTGGGCTGGCCATCAGCACACGCTGCCAGCCCACAGCTGGGCCACGCCAGGCTGGGGGTGCTGCGAGCCCCAGGGGAGCAGAGGGCCAGCAGGGTGGGGGGCACGAGGCCCAGATGCCCCTGGAATGCAAGGGGCAGGAAGGCACCAGGGCAGTTTGAGGGGTGGCTGGAGTGTTGTCATGAGCAGGTCCCCAGCAGAGGAGCCGGGCCAGGTCTCCAGCCCCAAGCACACAGCAGGGAAGGTGGTGGAGAGTGAGACAGGAGCTGGTCCTCACTCACTCAGGGACGTGTAAGGAGTATCCCTGCTCCTGCACTGAGCTGCCAGGCAGAAAGAGAGCAGCCCAGCTGTGGCAGACCCCTCCAATTCCAGCCTCAGCATAGTTATGCCCACCATGCAGCATGGCTCAGGGGCAGGAGGATCCATACAGAATCCCTTTCCCCAGGCTCCTAGGGCCAGTTGAGAAGCATGTAAGAAGCCACCCAGCGATAAGGAGCGCTGGACCCAGCACTGTATCTGGCTGGAGTTGAGCCAGAAGCTGCCAGGAAAGAGGCAGGAGCAAGGAAAAGGGCCAAGGGCCCAGCCTGGCTCCCTGGGGCCAGCAGGGCAGGGGGAGAGGAGCATGCAGGGCCAAGGGCATGTGTGGGCACAGCTGAATTCCCACTCCTCACACGTGGGAGAAAGCATGGCTCTTGCACAGCGGCTTGTCCTTCTTGGAGTAGAATGTCTTCCCTTCCAGGTTGGTCTGGCAGATCTGGGGAGGAGAGTGCAGGTGGTCAGGCTGGGGGCCTGAGTCAGCCTCTGGATCCCCCACAGCTCAGCACTGGTGTCACACAGGGACCAGGGACCACTGCACATGGCCCTAGGGCACTGCCAGGGACCAGAAGGCTCAGAGCAGAGTCCCAAGCCCCCAGGATGAAGACAAGTAGGAAAAATCCTGTGGCAGCAGGTCCGCTGTGCTGCTGGTGTGTCCCACCCAGAGCAGGACAGTTGGGGAGAGGCACAGGCTCTGAACAGTCAGGGAGGGAGGCACACAGCTCACCGCACAGACAAAGCAAGTGTCATGCCAGCTGAACCCCAGCGCCTCCAGGAACCGGTCCCCAGCATCGATCTTGAAGTCACAGCCGCGGCACTTGGTGCCAAACATCTTCTCATAGTCTGTGAGGAAAGGCAGAGCCCAGGTCAGCACTTCCAGGCACTACAGCTACTCATCTCAGCAGAGCAGGGCTGCAGCTCCGCCGGGATCCCACAGGCACAGCCTGGGGACAACTTTGCCAGCCCCCATCCAGGTGAGATAATGCCCAGACAGCTCGGAGAGGCGCAGGGTGGCCCGGCCACCACAGGGCTCCAGCGGGAGGAGGAGAACCTCATCTCCCAGGATGCAGCACTCGCTTTGATGTACATCCTCCCTCATTGCCATGGCAACATAGGAGCGATGGCACTACCCTGCAGCTAGGGAGAACCAGGATGGAGGGCTCAGGGCTGTGGGATTGGGGTCTCTGTGCTTCCCACTGCCCAGGGAGAGCCCTGCAGAGCAGGCTCTGCCCCTAGCCCTGTGCGCAGCTGCTGAGTCCCCGTGGTGCCCCAGGGCCACATGAGGTGACACGTGGGGTCCCTGGGTCCTACCTCTCTCACAGTAGGGCTGTCCCTCCTCCATGTAGAAGGCTCGGTTGCGGATGGGAGTTTTGCAGGCGTTGCAGGTGAAGCACTGCACGTGCCAGGTCATCTTCAGTGCGTGCATCACCTCCTGGAGAGGAGCCGCTGTCAGCCAAGGGCAGGGGCACCAAGGGTGGGAAGGGACAAGGAATCCCGAGATGGGACCATGGTGGGAAGGGACAGAGCCAGGCACTCACAGCAGAGGGCAAGGACAGGAGATGGAGGGCAGGCTGAGGGACACTCACCCCAGTGATCTTCTTCTTGCACTTGGCGCAGCTGGGTGCGTAGCGCGTGTCGTAGCACTTGGGGCAGAAGATGGAGCCTTTCTCCTCAAAGAAGCCACCCTCATCCAGCACTTTCCTGCACTGGCAGCAGGTGAACTCCTCGGGGTGGTAATAATGTCCCAGCGCCACGAGGTACCGTCCCCTGTGGCAGGACAGAACCACGTCAGCCACGCCGGGGCCCGGGACGCTGGCGTGGCGGTGGTGGCGGCCGGGGCTCACCTGATGACCTTGTTGCACTTGTAGCAGAGCGGGGTGCGGCCGGGCCCCTCGGGGGCTTGCTGGGCCGCCTGCACGATGGAGCTGCGGTTCTGCATGGGGGTCGGTGTGGCTGGCTGGCTGTGCTTGCTCACCACCGTGCTCGTCTTGTCCGGGGCGTAGCGCTCGGCAAACGAGGGGTCCACAGCCCAGGGTGGGCGGCTGGTGGGGCTGGGGGTGGCACTGGGGGTCCTGGGGGCTGCACACACACACAAGACTTAAGGACAGTGCTCCTGATCCCTTGGCAGCCCCTCCCCAAAAAGCCCAGAGGTGTTTTGCTCACCCAGTCCTGGTTCAGTTTTCATTGTTGCTCCTGGGGACGGGTCCGGCACGGAGACCTGGCTACAGAACAAGTAGTTAATCCAGCCTGCCCTGCTTGCCCCCACTGCCCAGGGGGTGCAGGCAGGGCTCCCCACCCCAACAAGCAGGAGGGAGCTGGCCAAGCCCTCATTCCCAGCAGTAGCTGGTTTAGTGATGAGGTACTGAGCCAAGGGCCTTCAGTCCTGCCAAGACACAGCACCCCCAGGGTCTCTGGTACCTACTGGGGTGGTCTGGGGAGTGGCAGGAGGGAGGGTTCTGGGCTTCTCCACACTGACCAGGCACCCCAGGGACCACACAGACTTTGGCTGCCTACTAATAAGTGATGATCACCCCCAGTCTCATTGGGGTGCAGGGGGATGTGGACATGACCTGATGCAGGGAGCCCCAGGGTCCAGCTCAGCAGCACTGGGAACAGGCAGGGCAAGCCAGGGCTAGAGAGGCACAGCCCACTGAAAGAGGGGGGACAGAGAAACAGGGAGAGCCAGTGGCTCTGTGCCTCTCCAAGACAAACTCAAAAAGGAGATGACAACAAACCAAACTTTTATTTGTATCAGAGTAAACTGGGTAAAGCTCATACCCAAGGGCCATGGCACCAGGACAGGAGGTGTCACAGTGAGGTAAGGGCAAAAAATGGGGTGCTGTCCAGAACCCCACAGAACAAGAAACAACCCTGACAAGCTGGTGGCATCCATGAGCTCAGCCCTGCAGCCCCACACCAGGCTTGCAGGACACTGTGCCCCAGGTCCAGTTGCTGCCCAAAAATCACAACAACCCAGCGAGATTTGGCCAGTGCCATCAGCCACTCCCAACCCACTGTTTCTGGGACACCACGGCACAGCTCAGCATTCCCAGCTGAGGGGCAGCAATGCCCAAGAGGTTCCTCCCAGGACATGCAGCCCCTCAGCTCCTGCTGCCACACACTCCCCTTACCTGGGCTTCCTAACAAACACATCATCATGATCCTCCACTGAGTGCAGCAGGAAAGAAAGGAGGAAACAAGTCAGTCCTCACAGACGGAGGCCCGGGCACAAGAAGAGGGAAAAGGGAAAAGAGGAAAACCAACCTCTCCTCCCACCAACCCCTGCCCCAAAACAAAGCCCTGCCCGGCCACAGGGCAGACCAAGGCCCCAGACCGGTGTCACCACCACGAGACCACGCACAGCCCCTGGCAGCTCCCACTGATTCAGCCACCCCACAGGGACCACGTGGACCAAAACCAACACTCCAGTGCCACTCCAGACTCTGCAGGACCCTGGCAGCCCAGGGAGAGTCCAGCACTCCCAGCCAGCACCAGGCCCTGCAGGAACTCACTGCTGCTGTCGGTGCCCGTCAGCTGGGCCAGTTTGCGGAAGGTGCGGGACTGCGAGGTCCCGGTGCGGGGCTGCCAGTCCTCAGCATCCTCTATCAGTCGCAGCTTCCCAGGGTTGCACCCAGGGGTGCTAGGGGGCTCCAGGGGCTGTGGGGACTGTCTGTGAGTGACAGAGGGCAGGAGCTCAGCTAGCACAAAGCACAGACCCTGCTCTAGAACAGAAGAGCACTCCAAAAGGTGCCCTGGCACATGGCAACACCTCTGCCAGACACTGGCACTCACCGCTGCTCCACTGTGCCCCAGCTGGACCCATGGGAATCCCTGTGGCATCAGAAAAAATGGTGGCACAGCAGTCAGTGGCTGATCCACGGCTCAGCCCATGGTTCCTGTATGCACTCACAACCTCAGAGATACAAGAACCTCATGGAAATGCCAACAGCATTCACTCCTGACCAGCCTTGCAGTGATTCCATCACCCCATGTATCGTGCCCCAGGTACAGTGCCTGCCCTGTGACTCCAAAAATGCCTGGCAAAGTGTGGTGTCACCATCCACCCCTACACACTGTGTCCAGCACACTGTGCTGCACATTACCCTCCCCAGCTTGGTGTCAGCAGTGCCCAGCAAGTCTTGCCTGCACACCCATTTGGGGGCAAACTGTCTGCCCGGTGGGTGTCCAGGCAGGAACCTCCCAAGGTGAAGGTCAAAGCAGTGGCTGAGCTCTGGCAGTGCCTGTTGTGGGGTGAGCACAGGGTGGGCTCTGCAGCTCCACCACCAGCTCAGCTCTGGGAGAGGGAAAGGACAAAGAGGGAGAGAAGAATCCACAACAGGGCAAAGAGTTTGCTCAGAGTCATGAGAAGTAGTGATGCTGACGGGAAATGAGCCAGCAGCACTCACCCAGCTCTGCCACACCACAGAACAGTGTGCCCCAGGTGCAGGTGCTACCCAGCACCTCCCAACATCCCACAGCCAGCTTTTCCCAGTGCCATCAGCCTCCTCCACTCCTTGTATGCCCAAAAGGCTAAGGTGCAGCTCAGCATCCCCAGCTCAGAGCCAGCAGTGCCCAGACACCTGGGACATGCAGCCTCAGCACATGCTCCCCTTACCTGGGCTTTTTAACAATCTCATTCTCACCATCCTCCACTGAGTGCAGCAGGAGAGAAAGGGGGAGATGGAGTCAGTCTGCAGTGACTGATGCCCAGGAAAAGCAGAAAAGGAAAGGAGGAAAACCAACCTCCCACTCTCCATCCCCTCACCCCATTGCACATCCCTGCTTGGCAATGGGGCAGAGCACAGCCCCAGACCAGCAGCACCACCAGGAGCCCACACACAGCCCTGGGCAGCTCCCATGGCTCACCTGCCCTCAGGAAGTTACTTGGAGTTACAAAACCCAAACTCCCAGGTCACCCCACTGCCTCTCCCAACTTCTGGTTCCCCCAAAACAGTCTGGATCCCCAGCCAGCACCAGGCCCTGAGGGAACTCACTGCCATCTGTGCCCGTCAGCTGGGCCAGTCTGCGGAAGGAGCGGGACTGCAGCCCTCAGCATCCTCCAACATCCGCAACTTCCCAGGATCACACCCAGGGGTACTGGGGGGCTCCAGAGGCTGCCTGTGAGTGACAGAGGGCAGGAGCTCAGCCAGGAAAAAGCACAAGCCCTGCCCAACACTGCAGCACAGGGCAGTGCTGCCAAAGGTGACCTGGCACATGCCAACACCTCGGCCAGATCCTGGCACTCACCGCTGCTCCACTGTGCCCCAGCTGGACCCATGGGAATCCCTGTGACATGGGAAAAAACAGCAGCACAACAGTCACTGTTTGACCATCCCTGCCATATGCGCCCACAGCCCCATGGAGGCACAAGCCACGTGGAAATACTGACCAGCAGCCTTGCAGCTGCTTCACGGCCACACAGGACGCAAAACACCAAGATCAGTTGCTGCCCAGCACCTCCCAACATCTCCAGCAAGGTGTTGTGACTGTCACCAGCCACCCCTACCCAGGTGGGTGCTTGGGGCAGGACCCTCCTGAAGTGACAGAGCAGTGGCTGAGTGCTGGCTGTGCTCGTTGTGCAGCTCTGAAAGCACCTCAAGTCAGGGAGAGGGGACAGAGAGGGAGGGAAGAACCCCCAGCAGTGCAAAGAGCACCCCCGGAGTGACTGCAAGCAGCAAGGGTGAAGTGGCTGGGGGGTGCTGAGCCTGACATGGGCACCTTGTGGTTCCTGCTGATGCCCCTTACCTGGGCTTTTTAACAGGCTCTTCCTCACCATCATCCACTGAGCACACCAGAAGGGAAAGAGGGAGACGGAGTCAGTCTGCAGCAACTGAGGCCCAAGCAGGAAGGAAAGGGAAGGGAAAGGAAGGAAAAACGCCCTCTCCTCCCGCTGCACCCCTGCCCCAACACACAGGGCAGAGCAGGGCTCCAGCCCAGCAGCACCACCACGAGCCCACACAGCCCTGAGCAGCTCCCGCTGGTTCAGCTGCCACAAAGGGCCCAAATGGGGTCAAAACCAATGCCCTGATGTAACAACACACCATGGCCTCTATCCAGTTGCCCCAGCAAAGCTGGGCACACCTGGGCAGTCAGCCAGCGCCAGGCCCTGCGGGAACTCACTGCTGCTTGCGCCCACCAGCCGGGCCAGTTTGCGGAAGGAACGGGACTGGGACGTCCAGGTGTGGGGCTTTGAGTCGTCAATGTCCTCTAACATCCGCAGCTTCACAGGGTCACACACAGTGTCACTGGGGGGCTCCAGCAGCTGTGGGGGCTGCCTGTGAGTGACAGAGGGCAGAAGCTCAGCACCAAGACTGGACCTTGCTCTGGAACAGGGAAGCACCCCTGAAGATGCCCTGGCATATGCCAACACTTCTGCCAGAGTCTGGCACTCACCGATGTTGCCCCGTGCCCCAGTTGGACCCGTGGGCATCCCTGTGATATCAGAAAGAATGGTGGCACAACAATGTTTGACCAGCCCATCTCTCCCCATATGCATCCACAGCCCCAGAGACACAAGAGCCTTGTGGAAATGCTGACAGCACTCACTCCTGATCAGCCCTGCAGCCATTCCATGGCCCCACATGACACTGTGCCCCAGGTCTGGTTTAGTTCCCTGCCCTGCAACTCCTGACACCCCCAGCAAGGTGCTGTCAGTGCCAGCAGCCACCCCTGCCTACTGCATCCAGCACATCTTGGCCTCCCCAGCTCGGTGCCAGCAGTGCCCAGTGGGTCCTGCCTGAACACCCTGCATGAGGACACTTCATCTGGGGACAGCCTGCCTGGCTGGTGGGTGTCCGGGCAGGACCCTCCTGAGGTGACTGTCAGAGCAGCAGCTGAGCACTGGCAGTGCCTGTTGTGGGGTGAGCACAGGGCAGAGACTGTGGCTCTGCCAAAAGCTTGGCTCTAAGAAGAAGGAAAGGACAGGACAGAGGGTGGAGGATAAGGAGAAGAGAAAAAACAGCAACAGGGCAAAGAGCTTCCCCTGAGTGACTGCAAGCAGTGACAGAGAACAAGCCTTGTGGGCTGAGCCCAGGGTGGACACCCTGTGGCTCCTGCTGCTGCCCTGGCACACACTTCCCTTACCTGGGCTTTTTAATTAATTCATCCTCACCATCCTCCACTGAGTGCAGCAGGAGAGAAAGGGGGAGATGGAGTCAGTCTGCAGCAACTAAGGTCCAGGAAAAGCAGGAAGGGAAAGGACGAAAACCAGCCTCTCCACTCACCATCCCCTCACCCCATTGCACAACCCCAGACCAGCAGCATCACCAGGAGCCCACACACAGCCCTGGGCAGCTCCCATGGCTCACCTGCCCTCAGGAAGTTACTTGGGGGCAAAACCCAAACTCCCAGGTGCTACATCACCCCACTGCCTCTCCCAACTTCTGGTTCCCCCAAAACAGTCTGGACCCCCAGCCAGCACCAGGCCCTGAGGGAACTCACTGCCATCTGTGCCCGTCAGCTGGGCCAGTCTGCGGAAGGAGCGGGACTGTGAGGTCCCGGTGCGGGGCTGCCAGCCCTCAGCATCCTCCAACATCCGCAACTTCCCAGGATCACACCCAGGGGTACTGGGGGGCTCCAGAGGCTGCTGGGGCTGCCTGTGAGTGACAGAGGGCAGGAACTTCAGCCAGCACCAAGCACAGACCCTGCTTCAGCACAGGGCAGTGCTGCCAAAGGTGCCCTCACCAGAACCTGGCACTCACCATGGCTCCACTGTGCCCCAGCTGGACCCATGGGCATCCCTGTGATATTGGAAAGAACAGCAGCACAACACTCAGTATCTGACCATGGCACAGCCCATCCCTCAGAAATGCACTCCAGAACTAGGAGAAGTCAAAGACACTCACCCAGCTCTGCCCTGCCATCCTGCTGCCCCACGCCAGGCTCACAGCACATTGTCCATTTGCTGCCTAGCACCTCCCAAGACCCCCAGCAAAGTGTTGTCAGTGCACCAGCCTTCTCATCCCTTTTCCTCAAGAAGCAATGGCAGAGCTTGGCCTCCCCAGCTTGTGCCAGCAGTGCCCAGCAGGTTCTACCCAGCACTGGACATTCTGTCTGGCCAGTAGATGTCCTGGAAGGACTCTCCCAAGGTGATGGCCAGAGCAGTGGCTGAGCTCTGGCCATGCCCACTGTGGGGTGAGTGCAGGGTGAGCTCTGCACCTCCACCAACAGCTCAACTCTTGGAGAGGGAGAGAAAAAACAGCAACAGAGCAAAGAGCTTCCCCTGAGTGACTGCAAGCAGCAAGAGAGAACCAGGCATGTGGGCTGAGCCTGGGGTGGGCACCTTGTGGCTCCTGCTGCTGCTCCAGCACATGCCCCCCTTACCTGGGCTTTTTAACAAGCTCTTCCTCACCATCCTCCACTGAGTGCAGCAGGAGAGAAAGGGGGAGATGGAGTCAGTCTGCAGCAACTGAGGCTCAGAGACAGCGGAAAGGGAAAAGGAACAGGAAAGGGAAAAGGACCTCTCCTCCCAGTGCCCACCTGCCCCAACACACAGCCCTGCCTGGCCACGGGGCAGAGCACAGCTCCAGCCCAGCAACACCACCACGAGCCCACACAGACCCAGGCAGCTCTGCCTGGCTTAACTGCCCCATAGTGCCAAAACCAACACTCCACGAGGCACCAAAGCCTTTATCCAGCTCCAGTTTCCCCAGCAGAGCTGGGCAGTCAGCCAGTGCCAGGCCCTGCGGGAACTCACTGCTGTCTGCGCCCACCAGCCGCGATAGTTTGCGGAAGGAACGGGACTGGGAGGTCCAGCTGTGGGGCTTGGAGTCATCAATGTCCTCTAACATCCGCAGCTTCACAGGGTCACACACAGGGGTGCTGGGGGACTCCAGCAGCTGTGGGGGCTGCCTGTGAGTGACAGAGTCATCTGTCAAATCTGACAGATCTCCTGGGGCTGTCCCCCACCTTCCCCAGCACAGAATCACAGCACACCAGTACCAGAGATGTCACACCTTGTCTTACTCCCCACCCCACAACTCCTCCCTCAAAAAGGCTGGGCCTGTGAAGGATTGACTCTGGAATGACCACCACCATTCCTGGCAATTTGAAACTGGCCCCAAGGGCCAGAAAGAGAAAGGACAGAGCAAGAATAAGCCAAGGTCAAAAAACCACCATCAGGAAAGCTGTACCACAGCTGTTTATGGCAGTGCCACCTGGCTCTGGGCACCGTGCCCAGCACAGCCCATCAGCCCTTGCCCAGCACAGCCACATCCTGGGGAATGGATCACACACAAGACACTCCAGGGCCCCAGCAGCTGGCAGAGACAGGCAGCTGTCCCCTCTACACTGGGGACAGCTCGGTGACAGGAGTGACCCACCCACATGGGCAGAGCAGCACCTGCTGCCCACCCCAGGCTGGCCCTGCCCCAGAGGATGGGGCACTGGCAGGGAAGAGGCATGCAGGGAGGATAGAGAGAGCAGGTAAAAGGCTTACTGACTTGTCAAGGCTCAGCACCTGTAGGGAGAGGGAAAGAGAAAGGGAGGAGAGAAAGAAAGAAAAAGGAAAGTGAAATTAGATCTGCAGCACCCAAGAAGTTTCCAGCACTCACCTATGGTCTGCATTAGTCCCCCTATCCCTGAATCTCACACAAAACTCGCCCAAGGCTGAGAGCACACTGGGAGCACAGGGGCAGATGCCAGGAGACCAGACTGTGCTCCCTTGGCCTCCAGAAAAGGCCGGGATGCCCAGGGCAATCAATGCCACATCCCGCCCCATTGCCCAGATCCTATGGCAGCTCTGGCAGGAGGAGCAGGGACCAGCAGCTGCTGGACACATGCAGCAGAGCCAGGGGAGAACCATGGGTCAGGACTGGAGGCCATCACTCTGCCCAGCCCCTTCCTGCAGCCAGGGGAACAGCAGGACTTCCCCAGGCAGGCACAGACAGCCACCGTCTCCCTGCCACTGCAGATGCCAGCCAGTGTCCTGCCACAGCCACCATGTCAAGCCTGGCAGGAGTCCCCACAGACTGACACGTCACTGAGCACAGGACCGGCACGAGCGTGGCTGCGTGTCCCTGTGTGTGACACTTCTGCTGTGCCACCTCAGCACCAGCCACCGGTTGCTCCGGCACGGGCACTGTCCCCCGCTCCCACCCAGGGTGCCTGGCATGCAAGGCGCAGCAGGGCTGGGCAGCAGGCTCCCCCCGATCCTCAGGGAGCAGGATGGACAGCAACATACCCGTTGTGCTGGGGGGTGCAGGCGGGCGCCAGGGGCGCGTACGTCACGGGTTTCGTCACCAGCCCGGGCCGTGGGTTCGGAGGTGAGCCGGCCCCAAAGGGCCGAGCTGTTTTGTTGAGGGCGGTGCTGGGAGCGAAGTTATATTTCAGGGGTTCAGAGCAGGGGAGTGAGTCCTGAGCGAGACAAAACACACAGACACGGGCTCACACGTCAAGCAGCATGCAAGGGGCAGCCCTGGGCCAGGCAGCGCAGCAGGCAGCCAGGTAGGAAAGCCGGACAGCACGTGCACCTTGGAGACCAGGCTCTGCCAGGCTGGCACTCACTCCACTGGGCACCTGGCCCAGCGACAGCAGGTCACAAACCCAGCCTGAGGGTCATTTGAAGATTAGTAGGTGCCCCGGACACTCGCTGCTGCCCGTGGCAGGGCGGTGCATGCACACACGCCGACTGCAACCATCCCATGGCACAAAGCTCAATACATGCAGGTGGCTTCAGGAGCCACCCGTCACCAGCCCCAGCCCTGCCTCCCTGTGCCAGGGCACTCCCCAGCACTAGCAAACATGGTGCTGCACCTGCCAAGCCTCCTCCCCTGTGCTGGCCCCTCTGCATCTCTGCCCACACCCATCACCAGCAGGGGCACAGGCAGTCTGGGCCCAGGCACCTACAGCGCAGATCCCTCTCCCTCTGATCCCTCACAGTGCCAGAGGTCAAAGCTGCTCCTCTAGCTGGGTTTTCTAGACCTCCAAACACACCCCAGCCCCCTAAAAGCCCCAGGAGCAAAGTCCATTTGTTTGACTACACGGAGATTCCCTTTCCCTGAGATGAGGCTGAGCTGCCACTGCGGCACCAGGAGCAACACGTACCTTCTGCGGCTTCCCCAGCTGGTTCTGGGCTCTGCAAGAGAGGAGACAGATGGGCAGGTACTGGACTTGGTCCAGACACCACCAGCATGCTGGTACCCCAGGGATGCAGCACCCAACCAAGGGGAAACATGGCCAGCTGGCACTGCCCTGTGGCCTGCAGTCAGGTTGAGCCTTATCCAGGCAAGCAGAGCTCTTGGACACAGCCAGGGACTTCTGGCTCTAAGTAAGGAGCAGTGATGCTGGGAGATGGTGATGCCAGGAGGTGGCACTGGGTAGAGGGCCCTGATTACACTCCAGTTGTATCAGAACCCCATGTTTGAGGGACCCATGATTCCTACCTGCTCAAGGTGAGGCAAAGCCTGTCCCCACAGGCGCGGATCCTGTTCTGGGCCTCGATGTGTGTCATGGCACTGGTGCTCTCCCCATCGATGTACAGCACCCAGTCACCCACTCCCACGCCGGCCTGGGCTGCCTTCCCACCCAGAGTCAGCTGCAGGACAGACAGAGTTAGGGAGAGCAGGAACAGCCAAACAGTGACGTGGGAGCAGAGGGACATCCTCGTGAGGCCCAGGATCCCCAGCACAGGACACCACACAGACCTGACCCAGGGGTAATTGGGGATCCCCAGATTACTCCCCATTTCCCAGTGCATGAGTCCAGAGCAGCCTCTTCCCTTTGGCAGCAGCAGAAGTTAAAGCACTTCTCTGGGGCGCTGCCCAGCCCCTGCCCTCTGGCATGGCTGGGGACCCTGCCAGCACCCCAGGGCCTCATCGCCGTGACGCCAAACACAGAGGCAGTGCTGCCTCAGCCTCAACAAGAAGCCCAGCTATCCCTTGGAGTCACCCCTGTGGTCCCGGGGCAGGAAGGGAGCACAGTGAGTCAGGGCCTGTTGGGCAGCCCACATCTCACTGCAAACCACAGGCATGTCCAGCCCTTCGCCTGGGGCGGGGAAGGACAGGGGAGGCACCCCTTGGGCACTCCCCCCAGCCGCCCGCGCTCCCGTCCAGTTCCCACCAGGCACAGACATTACCTCATTCCCACAGAGGAGCAGGAGCCCTCCCGGGGCAGGGAGACACCCGCCCCCACCCACGTTGCCCCGCTGGGACAGCCGGGAGCACAGCCACAAGTTCCCCTTCCCGGCCACAGTGCCAGGGATGCGCCTTGTCCCTGCCATGGCTCCGTGGCACGGTGTTCGTCAACCCCATGCTGGGAAGCATATGCTGCCCTCTCCTCCCACCAGGGATGCACAGCCAGAGGCGAGCAGAGCCCGCAGCACCGCACACAGCTCTCAGGCACTGACAGACAGACAGACAGACGTGGGCAGGCTGCAGCCATTCCTGCTCCTCCAGCATGGAAGAACTCGAGGCGCTTGGACCCAGACCAAGTATTTCCTCAAGTCCTGTTCGACATGAACATAAAAGGAGCGAGCCAGATTCCCAGCACTGTTAGAGGGCTGAAAAATCCCTGCCACAGAGTCCCAGCCCCTCCTTGCAGAACTCGGCTCACCCTGGGAGCCACACATCCCTTCTCTAGGCCAGCACCACCCTCCATGCAAGGCCAAACACCCCATATGGGCTGGATGTGGCCCAGTTCCACCTGCATCCCACTGCTATTCCCAGCAGGACATGGGTACCCCCACTACATATCCCCACACTGGCCTCCCATTCCTCCTGCCTGGCACAGGAGGGTGCCCAGCAGCAGGGATGCCCCCAGCTCCTGGTCATGCTGCTGCAAGCCCCAGCTTGCTGCCCTGGAGGGTTGGGGAAGGCATGGGGCGGCTGCTTGGGTTTGGAGGCAGGAGCAGGAATTGGGAGAAGTTTTCACACGACTGCCCAGGAAGGGGAGAGCACGTCAGGCTGCGTCATGAAGCCTCACCCAGCCTGGTCAGCACTTCCCGTCCCCCTCAATGCCAACGTGCAGGAAACCCCTTTGACAGGTGCCAGCTCAGCCAGGAGCCATGGCAGTGCCAGCCCTCCTACTTCCCATCCAGACCTGCTAACCAGGGCTTCCTTCCTCCCCTCTCCACCCAGTCTTTTGTTCCCTGCACCTCCATCACCACTTCCAGAGAGGTGTTCACCTACTGCCCTGTCCAGGGGCTTCCAGGACAGAGCCTCCCTCAGCACCTTCCTGCCACTAGCACCAAAGTGCCTCTCCTCTTTCCCAGCCGGCAGATGCACCACACAGCATCCAGCTATCTGGAGTTCAGTCCTTCTCCCAGCACAGGGACCATGGTTTACAGCCTGCCTAGCCAGGATGTCAGCACCCTAGCAGAGCCCCGTGCCACAGGAGGTACATGGCAGAGGGCCATGGTGGCATCTCTTTTGTGTGATCACTGAGCTGAAACAGCCTTACTGCTCACCCAGGGGTGCCACACAGATGGACACAACTGAAAGTCAAACCAATTGACACACCAGCGTTGCCCTGTGCTGCCCAGCCCTGCAGACCTGCAGAGCAGGGCCCCACTGCAGCCCACAAAGCTGGGGCAGGAGACTTCCCTCCAGCCCTCTGCAGCAGGGCCAGCTCACGGGAAGCAGTGGCCAAGGACAGCAGCATGCTCTGGGTCTGGGGATGCCTCTGGAATGCAGAGCAGCACAGGCTCACACCTTCCCATCGGAGCACACTGCCCTGCCATGCAGCCCAGCCTCACCAGAGAGCCCCCAAAGCTGCTGCATCCCCTGGGAATGTCCTCACTGTTACTGCCCTGCCCAGGACAGCAGCACTGCCCAAGCCTCACCAAGCACTGCTCCACGAGGCCCCTGCCCCAGGCTCTGGGAGGCTCCTCCATGCGACCAGACCCTTTGTTAAGAACTGGCTCGCAGCCAAGAGAAACATTTTTTAGAGAATAAACTCGCTGAAGCAGTCTCTGCGTGCTCAGCAGAGATCAGCAGGCCCCGGGGCAGCGGCACTGGCGACTCCAGCCTCACACAGTGCCCTCAGGGGCCGTGCTCCATGCTGGGACAGAGATCTGTGCCCTCTGGGACAGGTGTGCAGTGCCCTGCTCGTGCCAGGGGCAGGTCCCCAAGCAGCACTTGATGCCACAAGCACAGCTGTCCTTTGAGAAGCAGCCTCCGTGCCAGCTGCCCAAGCGCCAGCGGCACAGGCGATGCAGTCACATTCCAAGGCTTATAAGGCAATTGCGTGGCCAAAGCCATGGCCAGCACGGGGACCTGCACACACCCAGGGTCAGGCCCGGGAACATTACAACCAGAGAGGCTCAAACCAGCAGCCTTGGGCACAACCAGCTGCAGCACAATGGCTCTCACTGAAAAAACAGGAGAGTTTTGTGGAGGGAGACACATCCCTGTACAGGCAGCACAGCTTCCTCCTCTCCATGCCCATTTCAGGAGTGACCTCAGGCACAGAGCTGGGAGCTGTGCTGTGGAAAGGAGGGCAGAAGGGCACTGGCTAGGTCCTGGGATGCCAAGCCCAGTGCTGGGATGCAGACCAGGAAGCCAGTCCCACATCTCAGAGAGCAGATCCCCTCCCACTGTGGTGGGCACAGTCCGGAAGGGGCCTCCCCTGCCCCCCTCCGCAGAGGCTGTGCAGAATTTCACGTTTCTGCTTACAGCTCTCTGCCCGGAACACCCCCATGCTGGGCTGCAGCTGATAAGGGACCAAGAAGCCTATGTGGAGCCAGGCAGAGCAGGATGCAGCATTCCCGGGGCCCCAGCTCATCTACATCCCCCGTACTGCTCTGCCTCAGCCACTGCGACCTCCCTCCCACAGAGGCAGGAGGAAGGATGGGTGTCACCAATTGGTTTCTCTTACCCTGGAGATGGAGAGCGGCATGCTGAAATCCTTCCCTCCCTGCAGCCTGAAGCCCCAGGGTGCCGGCCCATTCAGCATCACCTTGTAGGACTCCATGTCGCCCATCTCTGCAAGGGAAGAGGGTGTGATCCCGGTGTTAGAGTACATGGAAATAATGCAGGGAGAGCAGGCGAGGAGAGGGCTCAGTGCCTGGCAGGGTAGGACAGGAGGTAGGTCACGTTTCCAGCTGTAACTCCACCCTGACCATCCTACACTGTGGTTAGAGACGCACCCCAAATCCATCAGCATCTTCTCCAGCGACGTCAGAGCTGAGGGGCCCAGGCTAACACTGACTAGTGCCAGGGAGCCAAGCACAGTCCCGCTGCCACCCACAGTGGAGTGTTTGTGGGCTCTGATTTCTGAAATCTGGGATGTGCTCTCCCTTGCAGCACCCCAGAAATTCCTGCTGCTGAGAGCCAAGGCTGTTCAGACTACAGAGAAGCAACAGCAGGTACAGAAGGATGGGAACCAGAAGCATTTTTGCCGGATGAATTATCAGCAGCAGCACAGGAGCTGCGTGATACCACCCGAGGCGCCTGGCAGAGCAGCCGGGCTGGCGCTCCGGCAGCCGGCCGAGCAGATGCTCCCCGGGATCGAGCCCATCTCCGGCGCTTTGGCAGGAGGGAATCCCGGCGTTCCCCTGCCTGACAGCTGTCAGCCGGCCAAGGCTCCGGACAGATGGGCCAGCACCAGCCTCTTGCCACCTTTTACCTGGAAGAAGCCGCTATACCCCCACGAACGGCCCCAGGACCTCCCTCCCGAGG